CTGTGCCGCTGCTAAACAGAACTTTCGTCCATAACCAGTTATGTCAGAGGTATGTCACCCTAGATCATCCCTAACACTTTACCCTACTCTTACTACTTTCTTTGTTTCGGTTCTGTTCATGGATCCGAGCTTATGCTCAGTTTTGGCAATACCTATCTACCGTACCTGCAGCTGACCTGGAAGCTCTTCCACTGATATCGCTACTGTTTTTAGAGGCAACAAATGGAGAAAATCCAGCAGTTGGCTGATTTGAAAGTGCAGCTACAAATGGCCGCAATGGAAGCTGCAGTAGCGAAGGCCGAAGCTGAAAAGGTAACGACTTGACCTTTAAGTCCCGTAGAAGGGTCAGGGCCAAAGGGGGATCATTCTCTCCATTTTGTGTGAAAAATTATCAGAAAAGTTTCTTGAGCAGCCGCAAAGGGGCCGTAGCCTCCGGCGTCATCCGTCACCGGGCCAGTTTCACGTGATGTAGCCAGATGTTCAGCGTGACGTGTGGTGTACCAGTACCAACCCACACTGATATTTGTAGAAACATGAATCATAGGTGGCTGTGAGGGCACGACCGGGCGGGGGGATGTAGATGTACCTCATCACAACTGTACCATAGGATCATTTGTCCCAGATTAAATCAAATGTTGCGCCTGGAGCAGGGTCAGCCGTTGACGTTCGCACATTTTCAAAAATTTCGCAACCCCCTCCTTTAGTCGAGGGTCTCGATCAACGACGTAAGCAAACCAGCCCTTTTGGCACATCGGCTGGGACCGTATGCTGAATGTTGGGGAGGGGATGGGGTCCCCAACGGTCGACGGTTTACTTCAACTCGGTTGGTACGATAGGAGAGTACTGACGCAAGTGGTGCAGCTGGTCCAGTAGCTTCGCCAGAAGGACCGGTCTGCTCACCCTTGGACTAAGCCTAGGAGAGGGGACGGACCCGTCCTCTCTTTAAGGCTTAGTTCTAAGGTAAGCGCCAAATTGTGGCGGTTCTAAGGACCGCGTTGAAGTTGTCCGTCCACCGTCGGGGACACCATCCCCTCCCCAACATTCAGCATACGGTCCCAGCCGATGTGCCAAAAGGGCTGGTTTGCTTACGTCGATGCAACCTCCCCACTCATGTAGACCTCAGGATGCTTCCTTCCCTACACGAGTTCCCCTTACTTTTCTTCAACACCCTCGCCATCATGGGTGCTTCTATAGGTATTTGATTCTGAGACCAGTCGACACAGCCCAACTCCGCCCACCTCGCTGCTAGTTCGTCGTTGGAGGGGGGTGCTTACTCACAGAAGCGCTCTCAAAAAAACCATTCACCAACAATACTAACCACTACTAATCCTAACTCAACCCCTGAAGTGCGACTTCGCCCCCCTGCACCAAAATCCTACACAAAGCGACCCTCTCGTTCGTAGGTGAAAAAGAAATAGAAGGAAACATTCAGTTAGTTAGCCGTTTGAGAAGGAAAAGAGATTACCTGGTTTCACAATCCATCGTAGAAGCCCGGTCTCCCCTATAGCCTACAAAACACTTAAGAGAGCAGCTCCAAGCCCACTTCCACCCGTCCGGGGCGGGTGCGGAGCGTTCATTCCCAAAACGTGGCCACACAAGTGTGGCATCACATACCGTAAAGTGCTGTACCCACTGAGTGACATGAACCCTCAGAACGACGCGGGATCGCGCTATATGCGCCCGCTGCGCTCGTGCTGACCCACCCGAGGAAGTTTAGGAGAGAACACTCACTCTCATGTATGGGATGGGTTTAATGCGGCAACATTGGTCCCTCTTGAATGGTGTCCTGCTGGAGTTTAAAAAGTGAAATATTGTGTGGGCAGCCATATTCTCCGATCAGGTACTGAGCGTTGTGGAGAGGGGGATGAATACATCCAATTTTTTATGTTGCACCTGGTTGGTTTCAGTCTGTTTCAGTAGTGATAACTACTGAGCGCCCTCAAATACAAGCGAATAGTAACGTGTCTTGGGTGTGACCGCAATAGCTAACTATTGAGCGTGTGGATGCGACGCGACGGCAGGGTTAAGTATCTTTCAGTGTAGTTGGAGGCGCCCTTCAGGTCCACTTGACATAAATTTTGGTACAGATGTTTATTGCTGTAGCTATTCCGAAGACGAAACAGCTGTGAAGTGCGAAGCGCTGGATAGTAAAAAACAGCCAGGAACGGCTCAAAGACCACTTTGTTACCTGTTGTGTTGTTAGTGCTGGCCAGGTACAAATTTACTTGACTTCTTTTCTCGGGAAGAAGTTGAACAGCACTCGGTCACAGGTAAAAATAGACGTGTGCTAAGAGGAGAAACTCTGCGGGGAATGCTCCATTTTACCTTTAGGGGAGTTAACGAGGTAGAAGGCTACCTACTAGCCCTCGAGGTTCCCTCCCTTCCTGAACATCGCTTTGCCTCTCACAGTTGCACGTGGTTGTTCTCGTTCAAATTGTAATATTGTTGCACGTGGTTGTTCTCGTTCAAATTGTAATATTCGCCTGTTTTTGCTTCATCTCCACGCCTACGCCTTTTGCACTTTCTCGTCAGCTCCAATCACCTCTTGACCATTTTCATCCAAATCAGAACAGTTTTTCCCACTCCACTTAGTTTTTGCTCTCCTCTCGGAGAATTCACTTAGCTCCGTAGTAACGCTTCGAAGGCTACGCTTCCAGCGTTCATGGTGTCAATGAGATAAGCCACGCCTCAGATTTCCATTCACAGCGAAGGGATGATTGAATGTGTATGGAAAGTTGACACCATGGTCTTGCCAACACCACAGCTGCCCGTCGCTCATGTTGCCCGCAATACAATGGCCAGTGCGTTGCGTCGTCTGCGCCCTCTCGCACAGCGTACTCTCTCGTTTATTCCTTTTGACGGCACGCATCGATCGACCTCACACAGTTGTCGGCTCCCAATTTCAATTTTTTGATAGTTTCTTTTCCTTTTTCTTCACTGGTAGTTTCCTTCACACATCTACCCTCATTTTTCGACGAAGTAATCACAATTTTTTTATCATGGTATGTGCCTTTAAGTCAACCACTGGTTGCGCTATAACATCGCCTCTTAATTGCGACACCTCTTTCCTATCAAAAAATCAAACAAACCCGCTCCTGAATCGATAGGACCTTTGCCCGGGTAGTGCCGTACCAGAGATGAAATATAGGGGTACCCAACACCAATTCGCAATTGATAACCTTCTATTTTTAGCGATTTGAACTCTGCTGTTATTACACTCTCACTTGCTCGCCCTTGTCCTTCAGCGCGTAATCATTTGTGGGTTTTATTCAATGTTTAAGGCACGACAACAGTTGGATAACTTGTTGAAGAAACGTGAAGATGGTCACGATGAAGAGAAACGATTCGACGATACAACCAGGCACAGTAAATAGCGTCAGCAATGGCTTGACGAATGGGTCCCGCAACGATTTACTGATGGTATCAATCTTGTTGTAGATATTAAAAATATCGGGACCGTTGCATTTTTAACATTTCTTGTTTATTTCTTGTATAAAGTCGTTTGAAAACAGCAACTGGAGATTGGAAATAATTTTGCAATACTTGATAGTGGCCTTTCCTACATGAGTACTGATCGATTTATTGATTGATGTCATCGCTTGAGAGAACAACTTATTTTGGTATTTTATCGATTTCCGCAGTTTTCTTCTGTCGTTTAGTTAATTTCAACCTCTCCTTTATGAATTCTTTCTTGTTGACAAGAATGTTGGAATGACTCCTTTTATCACCTAGTAATGGTAATCAATAAGAAAACTACTCATAAGTATATTGATAGTTCCATGGTAAATTTCTGCTTTCTGCTCTCTTTTTCTAAGGTAATCTTAATTTCTATTGGCTACTTCGGTACTGTAAAACGTTTAAAGAAATAAATATGGACATATGTAAGGCTGTTTTACAGGTATGAATAAATAAATTCTCCAGTGATGAAGATCTTTCGTATCTTAAAAGCTTTGCAATTCTCAATGACCGTCGTATAAGCAGTTCAGCTTCATCAACCGGTCCTGGAAAACGGACTATTATTCAAACATAAGCGATTTGAACGATGTATACAAACACACAACAAACTACAGTGCGTTTCATAACTATAAGGTCACCCTAAAATATTGCATTTCCGGGACCAGCAGCCAACTGGTGATTTTTCCACTATCACCAAATGATTCCCCACTACGAATAACCCCTGTATCGCAATTTTGGTGGGAGCAGCTTTTCTTCGAACTTTTTTGTAATTATTTTTCGATTTTTGCACCGTTTCATAATATAAGGTCACCCTGTGAAAATGAATACTACATTATCGGAAACAACCAACCTGCCTGTGAAAATGAATACTACATTATCAGAAACAACCAACCTGCCTGTGAAATTGAATGTTTGTTACAAACACACCCAGTAGCTAAATTTATGGAATGTTTCGTACTCGCCTTTTGAAGAAAAGGTAAAGTTTATGCATTTCATGGTGCTTGGCACGGTTCGCGAGTCTTTCCAAAGAACTTCGGACAGTCATTAGCACTGCTCATGGATAATTGAAAAGCTCCTACGTCTCCAGATATTCTACAATATCAGAACATCCACAAAATGGTTTCTATAAATGATTAGAGAAGAGTTATGAGGGCTGTCCCGTGCAGTATTTCCGCTTCAAATCGGCGTCGTGCCTGATTTAAGGTTTCTATCTTGAAAAATATGAACTGGAGTGCGGTGAAATTATGCAACAACATTACCAGGAAAGCAACAAAGATGGTCCGAAGGCTCAGTGGCCATTGCAAAGTGGCACAACTTCAACCCGTAAAGTTGAACTTGAAGAGAGTTTGAACAAGGTTGAGTCTGCGCCACAGTCGCACCATATAGCAAGATAATTCCAGTAAAGTTGGTATTTTTTGGACAAAACTGGTTTATACAAACAGATCCTGCGAATATAAACACTTTTGAAGTGACTTGCGAAGGTGGCCGATTCACTTCAGCGCTTGCAATTTTAGTTAAGGAAATGTGAAAGGTGTGGGTGCTTTTTGTGATGATGTTGTGTCAAAATTTCGCTTCCATAAACTGCATAATGGACTCCAAAGATTAGCATAGAGCCTTGCGAGGACATTTGACCTCTTCCTTGAGCTGATGAAGTCGGCTAGCCTACGTGGTCATACAGAACAGTACAGGTACCCATGTAGGTCATTCAACCAGAAGCAGCATTTCTCTCGAAACCCTGATGAACTGAACAAATTTTTCTGAATTTCTAGTCGTGTTCTAGTAGAACATCTCAGGGGCATCTTCGTCATGAGTAATAGTGCGGATAAACGCCAGTTAAAAATTACACAAGAGCGTGTACAAGCAACCCTTGAACACGGAAGTGAATCGATGGTGATCTGCCTTGGAATCTCAATTCCGGTAGGCCACGGAGACTATTCAATGTTGCCCTTGATAAAGGAGGAACCATACATTATTATGTCTATTTTATCTGTCATTAATCTTAGGTAATTGTTCTTTTTCTCAGGGTGACCTTATATTATGAAACGGTGCAAAAATCGAAAAATAATTACAAAAAAGTTCGAAGAAAAGCTGCTCCCACCAAAATTGCGATACAGGGGTTATTCGTAGTGGGGAATCATTTGGTGATAGTGGAAAAATCACCAGTTGGCTGCTGGTCCCGGAAATGCAATATTTTAGGGTGACCTTATAGTTATGAAACGCACTGTAGTGAGTCACACTCTGAAAGTTCAAGCTTACGGCCCCTGCGAAACCCTGAGGAGGGGAGCATCCTGAGGGTTCAAACTGCGAGAGGAATAGTTTCCTTGGAATAATCCTTCTCGTGAATGAGGTGGGTCCGTATTCGTGCACGTAGTGGTACTTTTGCGACTCATGGGAAAGGCCAAGGGCTTGCCAATTACATCTGAGCACATCTTATGCGTTCATCTCCGCACACGGCCCCACACTGGTGTCTGCGTCTCGTCCGTCCCCATGCTCTCTCATCTCTGGGTCTGTTCTATGACCTAAGCAATGTTGTTAAAGTGCCCATATTATAGACTTGTCCTATTCCCGTGGGAAAAAGGTCCTCGCTTCAGGTTTTCCGAACAGTTCCCTTTTTTCGTTTTCTCGGTGAGTACTCGCTTAACACTAAC